ATTTGGACAAAATGACACACCGTTTCGAAACAAGCACTTTTTCTCCTAGATTGCTTCTAAACCTACACTATTCCATTGCGATTCAACCTTCAACATGTTAATGTTTTCAAGTGTTATCTATGGGTTGCCGTGATCCAATCCCCATGGCACCCCGATTCTGACCCACATGTTGGTACCAGCTTTAAGTTTCTACCTGGAGCGCAAACAGCATGGAATTGTTCTTTAAACGTCAAAAATATCTATGCATTCTTGTGTGTATTCCTCTCCCAATCCCCATGGCACACCGCTTCGAAACAAGCACTTTTTCTCCCAGCCTAGAGGACCCTGCTTCCGAGGGTTGGCCCTATAAGCCCTTGGAGAGTTGGACATATGAGACCCACAATCCCAAGATGAAGGGGAACCTATGGGCTGCCTATAGAAACCTCTAGAAACAACCTATGGGTTGCCTGCCAACTTCCTTCCGGTAGGTCTTGTGCAATCAAAACACTGTGAACGCTGAGTAAAACAAGCCCATTGAATAAAACCATGCATTTAGAAAACATCTTCCAACACACTCTATCCTGCAAGGAAACGCTATAGTGTATCGACTTCCTGGTTTGCTCATCACCTTCTATCTGCTATTTGAAAAAAAACACGTCTCGACTTCAACAACTGGCAGTAGCCGACTTTCAGCCTAAGTCCCTCCTGTTTAAAGCCTCTCTCTCTTGAAAAACAATGGTAATCCTTGCTTGAACCCCGTCCTTCATGCAAGTTTCTCCCCTCAGCCAAACCTCCCTGTACTTGAGAAGTCAAGTATGCTTCTGTCTAAGAGTTTTCCTCTGATGTATATGATCCCCAGTCCCTCCCCTCGCCAGATGGAAAAATGCTGCTCAAACGACTAGTAGCTTTTCACCAGACAGTCTTCTTCTGTCTTTTTCAAACTTCTACGGTCAAAGTACATGTCTTTACAGTATACGTGTCTTTACGGTGTCTTTGGAGGACGTTCATTGACGTTCGTTTTCTACCCCCAGAAAGGGTTTCCCCAAAACCACCGGTCACACCGGTCACGCCGGTCACGGTCACGCCGCTGCTGCACTGCTCGTGTTCTGTTCGGAGCCCCGACTCCATAGCCCGCTTCATACTCCTTCTGAAGCTCCTTGAAGTCTTTCGTGTCTTCGGACCTGAAGTCGCTGTGGGGCACCGGTGTGGGGCCCGGTCTCAATCCGCATTTGAGAACAGGCCAAACATGGAAAAAACATAGAAAACAAACACCACAAGACGACAACGAAAAGTAACCACCAACAGAACCGACCAACCACATCCAACTTGGTCCTTGAGTATCGCTCACAAGAAAAACCCGCCCGGACCGTCCTCATGATTTCGCCGCTCCGGCGACGATCAAAAGGGTCGCAATTCCCCCAACTCACCCGTGGTGAAACACCACCTGGTCCTCGGGTGAACATGTTTCCTCTGGCCGTGACAAAACAAGATCCAAGTCAGCTTGCTTCCCACATCTGCGGATAGGACACAAATGTTTAAACCAATTCATTTAGACGGTTGATTCATAAAACATCACCCATTAAAACATAAACTTAAACCCATAAAGCGCCTGAAGAGGCTTTACAATCCAAATGTGCCATATGCTGTGGGCGCGGGAGAGACCGTCCGCAAGTCAGTGCATCCAAATGGGAGGAGCTTTAATTAATCCAGATTCTATGCTGAGCACGGAACCCTCTGATGGCATTGGAAGTAGAAGTTTGACGAAAAGTGTGTCTCCCCAAACAACCCCTCCAAGCATCCTCTTCACATCCTCTTGACCTCAAATTCTGTCCCCTTTTGCGAACTGCGACTCCCCGCATCGGCCCGTGCTGCGCCGATGCGGATAGGGCCCGTGCCGACGCACCGCGTCGGTCGTTGCGCCCCCACGGGTCGCGTCTCGCGTGTTCATTCTGAGACGTCGCACATGGTCATCATCTCGTAGGCCATGCTGCCCATCGACATGCCTGGCAGGGCGACCGGGGAACGTCGGCAGAGCCATCTCTTTGAACCAAGGAAAACCCAGTTGATCCAGGCTTCTGTGGTCGTTTTGACCCAAAGATGTTTTGTGAAAGCACATGGGATGGAATAGACTTCTGTGGTCTCGACTTACCTCTCGACTTCTTCCACTGAAGTTGTGAGACATGCTGCAGCCGTCCATCCCACCCGTATCTGTCTGAAGAATTACGACTCCTAAGACTCGTTGTCCTTTCTTCTCAGCATCACGGCTTGCACCACAGGCATGTCCCAGAAATTCCACTCCCATGGTCGTTCTAGGAAAACTGCATGGTCGTCCCAAGCCGGGTGAGTTTAGAAGATGAAGACATGCTGCTATGCAATGAAGACTGATTGGTGACAGGGATTGGCAGCATGATGCAAAGTGAAACACAGCCGACCTGGAGCTTTTGGGGTGGTTGGATAGGTTTTGATAGGTTGAACACAGGACGCCCAAGTCTGGAGCCACGGCAGCCACCGCTACAGATCAAAACTGCCAGGGTTTAAACTTACTGGGCTTGTTTCATCAATATCCACACTGGCACATCCTACATTACCTCTATGAAAGGGGCTCCACAATTGGAAGTCCATCCCCAACCCGTCTCTAGCCAGTGGCATTACCTCCGCACCTTGCAGAAACACAGTATATCTGCCAGCGTCCCCGCTGCTGTCTGCGAGGGACTCAGGTAGCAACTACCATTGAGAATTGCACCAAGAGTTTGGTAGATCTGCAGTTGCAATTCATGCAGAGGAAGCATAAGAATCCCTCATTCCATGGTTATTTAGAACTGATCCAACTAGCTATCCTTAGCTGTTGACCAAACAAATCCTGCACCACCACCTGAAACCCAAACCACTCTAGTAGCAACTAGTTCTGGTGAGCACAGAAATTCCAAACCGCCCAACACAGGAGTTCTGAACTCCATGAACCGTCCCGCTGTGTCCGAGGCGAAGCGAACTCCCCGCCTTCGATGCCTTTTCGATACTCCCACCTGTTGGGCAGCCAGAGCTTTTGAGAAGTTTAGGTGCTTTCGAAGCTCGATGTTTCGGCCGTCGATCGCGCGTTTCCGGTCGAAACATCAAAAGAAAACGCAACTGGGTCGTGTTCGCGCCGATGTCCGTCGACCGTGCGTTTCTGGGCAATGAGTGCCGTGGGCTATACGACCCATGTTCAACCGTGTGTGGGTCGTATGCCCCGTGCTGCCGGGAGTGGCGGGTGCTGGGAGTGCTGGGACACGATGCTGGGACGGGCAGTGGGTGCCGCCCCACGGTTGGGCCCCGGTCGTCAAGCACCCAAATGTATATAGGTAAATATGCCAGTCCCATGGAGTGATATGTATGTGCATATATATAGTATCAAAATTATATATACCAGGAGTCACATGTCGGGGTGGTGTTTAGTCCCCAAGTGAGTGGATGTTCTGGGCACCCCTAACCTCCATGGATAGCACCCCGACATGTGACTGCAGGTATTGTATTATATAATATATATATATATGTGTGTGTGCATGCAGCATGCATACTAACATCATCTAACATCACACATACTGCTCGTGACGGAAGGACCTGGCTTGACTGAAACCGGGGCTTCGACCCAGGGTCCGTCCGGAGCGCGTGGGTAGCGACGCGGCGACCGTCGCTATTTTCATGACGGCGCGGCAGCTGTCCGTCTCAGTTCTGAAACATTCAGGGCTGAGGCACGGGCTCGACTTGGCGAGGCGTTCTGGGATGATGTGTGTTTTCTTTTAAGCGGTTGACTGGGCTTCCAAGAACGGAATCTGGGGTAGCAAAACATGGGAATCTGTGTGGAATGAGGGGTTAGGAGGCAACCGCCTGTGTCTGTGTTCTCATGCATCGTCATTCACTGCCTGTGTCAGTCCCACATTGCTTTTAAATGCTTTTATGGCGATGATGCCATCTACGCCGCCAAACTCTGGAGTAACAAGTCAAAATAAAATATCGTCAAAATCATCTTACCAGCCTAGGCGGCATCTGATATGGGATCTGATGGGTGCCATATTGACAGCTGAGTACTGTATCTTCCATACTCAAGATAGCAACATGCTGACGTCTGAGTGCTTTTCAAAACCAGCATCTTCACACCCCACCTCTCGGGGACCCCACGTCACATCGGAATCGTTTGAGGCTTCAAAGCCCGCCACGGTCTCTGGTCGAATCGTTGCCCGCCCGTGCCGCCCGGGTTCCGTCGGGTGCAACCGCAGCACTGTCGCGCTGGCGATTCTAAGCTGGCCGAAACGGACCAAAGAGTCCTTCGGCTGAGTTGGTGCGATGCACACGTCACGGTGTCGCAGCTGTCTAAAGTCACAAGCTTGCTGCAAAAGGGCGCAAGGGTTGCGAAGGCATGCGAAGACCATTGGGTCTGTTTAAGGCTGTAGAATGGATCTGTCATGACCTGTACCTTCATGCATTCTGCGGCTCACGAGGCGTGCCAAGCTGACGCGGCTCCCGTTCTAACCCCTTTGCTGCCAAGCTGACGTGCAAGCAGCACAAGTCATTTGTTCAGTTCGTATCTGTTCATGAGGTCTTTGTGACCTGTTGTCACTTGAGTTCAAGTGCCCGAGGCCGTCCCAGCGCACCCACTGGATCATCCGAAGATGTCGGACGGGCCCCCGGCACTTTCAGCCACCAAGCCATGATGTCTCGTGGCAAGCGGCTAGAGTGCATTTGCTCAAAAAGGGGTTTGAAACTGCATCGGCCACTGCATGGCTTCCATGTCGGATCCCAGAAACTTGTTGAACGTTGCAAGACACAACCTGACAAGGCACGATGTTCGGAATCCTGGTCATCCTAGTCGTCATAGAACTCTAGCCTATCAATCCACATAGTTCCATGCACGGCCATGTTCGGACTTGAAGGTGGAACTACGGCCTCACGGTGCCGTCCATGTCTTTGTTCTTTCCGCATCGATGGGTCGAAAAATTCATGGAACCTTGCAATAAAATCATATAAAATCTATAAGAATAGATAAGTCCTCTCTCAGTCACCGAGAAAACCACCTAGGACCTAGGCCTACAAAGAAAAGACCACTCCGACCAGATTGGCCGGCCCCATGCGCCGCCCCAGGCGGCTCAAGTAGGCTTGGATCATGCGGCGGAGGAAGGGGTGACGAAGGGCTTCAGCCTGAAGTTGTTCCTGAACCTGGTTGGGGTCACCGGAAGTCTCTGAGACAATCTCGGAGATCTTCTGCTTCATCCTCGCGCTTTTGGGAGTGAGATGTGGGTCGACAAACAGGAGGGTTCGGAGGGAGTCATGAGGGAGACGCAGGGAGACGCTTTTGAAAGAGAAAATCGAGACGGTGAGAACCGGGCCTGGAGAAGAAAACTCCTTGATTGGAGGTCTTCATCACTGATTCTGAGAAGAAAACCAGAATGAAAAAGGGGTTAGCACCAGCAAATCCATAGAAAAATATAAAAGGTGAATGACATGAACTGCCTGTATGATCAAACATGGGCACAACTCCCGTGCGTGACCATAGATGTAGTATGATGTAGTATATTATATATTTTGAAACCTCGCATGTGGCACTCATTTACCACCTTTCACACCTGTTGTGATCTTGAAAGTGGTGCACGACTCTACAACCGACTACCTTGTGGAAAAATGTCGTTTTGACCCCCATCATCCGCATCCATGCAGTAAGAAGCTGACTAAGTTTGTACAACCCCTCAGATTACGGTCCTGTCTACAAGGTCACTTCCCCCTGGTCTCCTGAACAACACTTGTGCTGGAAACTTTGCTTGATGTGAAACCAAGAAAACACCCTGAGGGCAATGGTCCTGCGGCGGCGTTCCTTCCGCGGACGGTTGCCATCCTCTTCCACATGGGCCAAGTGGCAGAAGTTGCATCCGTTTCCTCAAGTGGCAGAAGTCTGACATGGCACCTGATTGAGGTGTTCATTCTTTCATGTTTTCATAGGATTTGATTCTAGAAAACGACCCCTGCAATCACAAACACTGCCAGATACTACCAGACCACCAAATCCGTCACCACCCCGCCACCACCCCAACCCAAGATTGGTGATGGTTTCAAAAACATGGCAATGATCAAAATGTGTTGGTAGATCATTTTGTCATATGAAATCATTGTTATTTGCAACACTCTGGGGCATCCAATCAAGGGGGTCTGACCTTCGTTGTAAATTTCAGCCTAGAGAGGACCCACAAAATGGTAAAGTCTGACAGGCTCTCGCTTGATGCACGCAAAAGTGAATAAGGTTGGAATAGTTTCTGTCCTGATCGAAATTGGCCCAGAAAAGGATGCGAGACTACCCTATTGCTTCTTTGAAATTGCGGCAAAAAGGAATGTGCGCGTCAAAAAGATTTTGCATAAGGTTTCTTATAATGTTTCTTATATGTTTTCCCCTGGGGTGGAGCCACAACAGGAAGTGCCAGGTCTGTTCTCAATGAAGAACAAAGACTTGAGGCTCCAAAACAATCTTACTTAGATTTGCTTAGCTGGGAAACAAGCCATATTCCCCAGAAGGGGATTTAGCGATAGGGAAAGTGCAAAATATCCTTAAACATCCTTAAACAAACCCAGGCTTGGGAAGATATACAGTAATACGCTGACGAATGCTGTAATGCTGTGATGGTGCGATATGTGGTGATGTGTGTGTGTGTGTCACCCCAAGGGATTTTGCTTGAGGCTTTTGTGTTTGTTTTTGATCAGCTAGACAGTAGGGGACCAGGCAGGATACATCGTCACCTGGTCAACGAAGCTGGCGCTGTATCTGAGGATATGGAAATGGGACGCCATTTCCACGTACCTGCACTGCTATCTAGGGAAACAGAAGGAAATGGTTCTCGGCGCACTGTGTGCGTCGGTTCCTTTCCTTCTGTCGACCCTTTCCTACTCTAATGGATTCGAAAGTCTCGCCCCCTAGCAAAAAAGCAGGAAGCTTCATTTCCTTTTCTATAGCTATCTTCTACCCTATGTGAAACGATTCCTTTGGTCTCGCTTCCGTATGGAACCTACTCCCCTATGCACGGCCGTAATTCGAGACCGCTAAGTATTTAGTAACTAAGTTGCTGCAGATGCGCATCAAACACTCCTTGTTGAAACATCTACAACTACACGGACTCATCGCCTTTCCGTTGCATCGTTCCTTTCACTGTGGATTATCACATTGGATAAAACCTTGTCTAAGTATGCTGTTGATGGTGTGATGTCCAACGAAGAGATTTTGGGCACGATGAGGAGGTAAGAATGTAGGTGTCTGCATCATGACGATCTCCAAATACAGTATGCAAACCAGGGCCGATCGGGCGATCGGCGAAGACTGGACCAAGCGGACCTGGCCGGGCTGCCAGGTGGACCATGCGGGACCGGATTGGCTCCGAACGGACTCGACCTGCCCTCAGTTGCAGGTCTAAGGATGTCTGTGTGGCCGCTGTCCGCTGGCAGAATGGCTCCTTCACCTGACCACTTCGAAGGCAAGGTCGAAGCGTTCCTCCTGGCCACTGCAGATGGTGGAACCTCATCCTGGCATCCGTCCCTTGTCGTGTGGCACGGAATTTAAGTGAGTCGAACTCAACCTTCGGCTGAGTCCAGTCCAGCCCCTCAGTGTTCGCATATTGCTTGCGCCGCCGGACATCAACTCGCATAACGGGGAACGCCCAAGTATGAAGGGAACGAAGGATTCTTGGGGGAAGAAGGCATAGCAAGGCACAGGCGACCCACGGGTGGACCGGGAAGCAAACAGTTTTTCATGCTTATCATATCATTCATCTGGATTTTGATGCCTATCCAAGACCGCAAACTACCCTAGCTAGTCACGCTTACTTAACTCGTATGGATACATATAACCTACCAATTGCAAATCAATACTATTGTATACATCGCATGATTCTCATCGATCTCATCGTAGTATCCCAATCATCCCCCAGTCCTCCCACGCACCGCGGGACCCTTGGGACGGAAGGAAGACGGACACAAACTTCAAACCGCCAGAAACGAGGGACGTAGGACACGGGGGTTCTATGGTTTGATTGGGCAGAATCTGCGAATTCTTGCAGGAAAAAACGTCAAACATGGCGTGGGCATGCGTGGGCAGCATATGAATGGCCACAGTATGAATGTGTCAAAGAAACATCATCAACATGCGTGTTCGGAACGGGACCTGCATGGAACTGATTGAAATGAGTCTCCGTTCATACAACCATAGTCCGAGAAGAAGAACACACATGGATTGCAGCTGCCCCTTTCATGGATGCGGACACCAGTGTCCGTGCTCGCCATGGCCCAATCCACCTCGGCCGCTGCGTCGACGGCCCAACACTGGGAGAAACCTGGGGCAAACCCCTCCTCCATGGTGCCGAAAAAATGGTTTCATGTCCAGTTTGCACTTGCCTAGGTTGTTGAACATGGCGAGTTCTACCCGTTTGCGGTGCCCAAACCTACCCAGTTGGGGTGAAGGTCTCACAGGGGCGACGAGTCGGAGTGGAGTCTTGACCTCCTGAAGCGTGAGACTTCTCCCGCACCACTCCAGTGGGTTGGCTTTGCAGTGCGCTTGCACCGGGACAGGTAGGAACTGAAGCCAGTCTGCTGGTGACAGGGTCTGGTGGGTCTGGAAATACGAATCTTTGGACTGGTGCAGACAGGGTCTGGTGGGTCTGGAATAGTCTTTGGACCGCACCATGACGGGCCATCCAATTGAAGATGTCACGACGCAAAGTTCGGGGAGAGTGCTGTTTCTTGCAACCTCCGGTGGAATGTGCGAGGCCCTGATTCACCATCAACATCCATCAACCATCCCTTGCTTCACGGTCTTTAGTAAATTCTCACAGTTTGTCAGACAACACACACACACATCTTGACCAAGTGGCCGGAACTGCTTTATGTCGACTGGGCACAAATCTTCAACGAGCTCACTAGCTGCGGGATGCATGCACCCACTCAAGCTGCCACAACCAGTGACTGAAATCCAGGGCGTGGAGGAATTCAAGTTCTGTTTCAAAACGAAAGGCCCAAAGGAGCCTTTCAGAAACGACATGAAACGACAAATAGGTGGAGGAAACCCTCAAAGGAATCCATCTTTACACCTCCATGTTTACTATACAGGTCAAGAGATATATCTCCCGGACTGATTCATTGAATTACCCCATCCGGCTCACCGAGTGTCCGGCATCCGGTTGTCACCATGTGTCACGCATCCCTTTCCACCCGTTTCCGCACGTTCCAATCGCCCACCACCGCACCCCTTCCGCTCGCGCGGCGCTCGGGAGGTGGCGACCTCGGTGCAGGTGCAAGGCTGGCTATGTGTAGCTTTAACTTTAACTGTGAAATAAAACATCATAGATAGATAGATAGATAGATAGATCCTGAAAGATACATGATATACATGTATATATACATAGTCATATTTAATGGGTGTGGCCAGAAACCTTGGTATGGATCGTTCCGCGCTGCAGTGAGAGTGATCCAAACCCTATGGATCAGAGCGCTGATCCAAGCCCTATGGATCAAACCGACAAGTCACTTGATCCAAGCCCCCGACATGAACACATCTGCATGGTGGCACTTCACCCCACCACTTTCTCACCTATTCACTGTGAAGGTGGTGGCTTCCCAGATCAGCCTGTTTTGAAGTTCTGGCCGCTGTGATTTTGGGCTCCACTGTCCACATATTGGGCATGGTTGGGTATAGAGTGGTGGCAATGAGCGTTGGGGCTCATTCCTTCTCCAACTCAAGCAGACGATGCAAGAAGCCCAAAAAGGCCATCAGCTGGCCAACGCATATTGGTGACTCAGTGGTCTCTCAAGACATTTAACAGGTGGTGGCTTCAGCTCTAGATTACACTGGTTAGTGGCTGCCGCTAATTCTGTTTGGCCTTAATATTGTGTTCTAGCACCTTCTTTAATATGGGTTATTTAGGTTGGCTTCTCCACTCAAAGGGTTGCATAGCCTAATGGTAAAAGCGTCGGTTTCCAATTCTTCACTTCGACAGTGTTAGGGTTCAAGTCCTAGCTGTGACTACACTCAGTGGTTTCCAGTACTTAATTTTTGGCTGGAATGGGAAGTCAATTCGAAGTTGAGTCTAGTGGCTTCCGCAGATTTGGTGGTGGTAATACTGGTGATAGTGGTGAGTAGCAGTAGCAGCAGCAGTAAAGCAGTAAAGCTGTTGCAAGCAAGTGCAGTGGCAGTAGCAGAAGGAGTGGTGGCAGCAGAGGTGGTTGTAGCAGTGGTTTGTAGTAGTGGTGGTTCGAGTCCCGGCTGTGACCACACTTAGTGGCTTCCGGTAATTAGTTTTGGCTGGAATGGGAAGTCAATTTGAAGTTGAGTCTAGTGGCTTCCGCTAAATCTGTGGTGGTGGTAATACTGGTGATAGTAGTGAGTAGCAGTAGCAGCAGCAGTAGTAAAGCTGTTGCAGTAGTAGCAGCAGGTGGCAAGTGCAGTGGCAGTAGCAGAAGGAGTGGTGGCAGCAGAGGTGGTTGTAGCAGTGGTGGTGGTGGTTGTGTGATCCAAGGGCTTGGATCTAAAACGCCCACCTTTTGATCCATACCCCATGGATCGAGGTATGGATCGTGTGTGGGTTTGGGTGTGTGATCCAAGCCTTATGTTTTTGGCCGTAGCCATTTATGTATATATATATATGTTCTTTGATACGAATAATGTTATTAATGTCATGATATATAATACGTGTATTATATATACGTGTATATATTAATACAGAATAAATGATATCTACCAACTGTGTATCTTGATGCATATCTCTTGATGTGTCTGGCCTGAACCACATGGCCAGCAAGGCTCTTTAACACAAAAAACAACACATCTAATAGGCTATCACAAAATGGGCGGCTGCAGGCTTGCTGCCACCATATCATGGATAGGTAACTTGATTGCAGCCTTTGGAATAGAGCGCACTCAAGTTAATGAATAGAACTACGCCACTCAAAAAGGTTGGAGGAATCCTTAAATCGATTTCCCTCCTCACTTGGCTTCATTGACTCCTCCATGGAGAACCGGGGGTTTCCCCACGCTCAGAAGGGTCACCTTAAGTCCTCCTCGCCCATCGACCAGCACCGGTCTGGTTTTTGGACACCAGTGTGTGTGTGTGTGTCCACCCCTGGACAAAGGGTTTCCTTCGACCACTCCAATCAGGCAGGGGGCATGGCAGCTGTTTCCCTAGCCATGCCAACGAAGCTATGGGATTCAGCCGGAAGGGAATGTGGACGCACATTCCTGTACCTGCGACCGAAACTTTTTTCCACGCTGTGACTCTACTTCTCCACTTTTTGATTCATGGTTCTTCACGCTACCAACCCAAAACAGGTTTCCCACCGCTGCCTTCAGCCGCCGACGTTCAGCCGCGCTTCTGCAGATGAGTGAACAGATTGTTAAACATTTCAGTTGCGCTGACTTTTTCACCTTACGTTTCCCTCACCTTCCTTCCCAACGTGGTAACTGAGTTCACTGAATACAAGTGTCAGAGTGTGTTTCGCTCAGCCGTCCCACTCGGGTGCTGAGTGTGATCCCCGTCACAGGGGCGCCGTTTTTACATGGGAAAGCCACCACCCCAAAGCACCACCGCTCATTGGACCCTCACTGGCAGTCACCGACACCCCCACTGAATCAACCGATCCACTGGCCACCGGGCCCAAAAACGGTTACTTTCGAATACATCAGATTTCGGAGACTGAAGAACTCAAACTCGTTAGCCTGAGCATACTTGACGGCTAAGTATTCACATGCCTGCGCTGCTAAGTATTCACAGGCCGGATGAATTCATCATGCACACCCCCCCCCCCCCTCCCTACCCCCAGGCCTCCGTTGCTATCCCACCCGCTACTCGGGAAACAGAAGGAAATCGCACTCAACACACTTGTGTGTTGGTGCCTTTCCTTCTGTTTCTCCTAGCTATTGCTAGTTACCCGGGCGGTTTAAGACGAATGTCCCGCTCGCCTTCTACTTTTGTTTAACTAAGTGGGCCTCGTAACTACCCTACTTTTCTTTCTTTTCTTTCTTGCCCTCTTAGTCTGCTCTTGTTTCGTTGCTTTTTCTGTCTTTCTAAGGCTTTTTAGGTGTCTACTAGTTCTTCGTTGCGCCAACAATTTGGCGCTTTTTGTACAAATGTTCCCCTGGGAGTTAGGACGCTACTGGAGGCCCCTGGCCTTACTACTACTTTGACCGCGCCGAAAACGGCTCTGTGTGTGTGTGTCCACCCCTGGGCAAAAGGTTTTCGTCCACTGGTTCAACGGTAGGGGGTGTCTTGAAAAAGCGCCGAAGCCGGCGACTTGTGTGTGTCCACCCCTGGACAAAGGGTTTCCTTCGACCACTCCAATCAGGCAGGGGGCATGGCAGCTGTTTCCCTAGCCATGCCAACGAAGCTGTGGGACTCAGCCGGAAGGGAATGTGGACGCACATTCCTGTACCTGCGACCGAAACTTTTTTCCACGCTGTGACTCTACTTCTCCACTTTTTGATTCATGGTTCTTCACGCTACCAACCCAAAACAGGTTTCCCACCGCTGCCTTCAGCCGCCGACGTTCAGCCGCGCTTCTGCAGATGAGTGAACAGATTGTTAAACATTTCAGTTGCGCTGACTTTTTCACCTTACGTTTCCCTCACCTTCCTTCCCAACGTGGTAACTGAGTTCACTGAATACAAGTGTCAGAGTGTGTATGTGTTCCATCCAATGACATTGGGGTGCTACTGGTATCTATCCATCCATTCATCTGTCTCCCCAAACTCTCTCAACCCACCTCGCAGGTATCAACCCACCGGGCCACATCCACGAAGGTCTCCCAAAGTGCGCTGGAGAAGCGGCCGAAGGTCGTCCAACCTCAGCTCCAACGACACGCGTCGCTCCGGGCGCGTGCGGTCGGTGACCGGGTCGCCCCGAGTTTCGGATGGGCTGAGGGGACTGGTGACACTGTGGTGTCTGGAGCGGGCCTCACAGGTTCCCAACATCTTCAATTTGAGTCCTCGATCGAAGCTAGTTGAATCATGTTCGAGGCAGAATCTAAGGGTACAGACTAGATAACACGGTCACGGTAACACATCTATCTGCAGGATGAAGAGATATGTGAGGATGGGGACGATCTGTCAAGATTGTTTCGGCTCCCAGTTCGTCCCAATTTCGGCTCCCAGTTCGCCTCAGCCTGCTCCCAACACCCCTTCCACGTCACCGGCGTTTGCCGCCGAGTTACCATCCTGCTGGGAGGCCTCCCGGATCACCGCTTGCCGGTCGCGCCTAAGAGTCTGTCGTGAAAGCGCGGAGCTTCCAACGAATGGGGGGCGACCATGTTTTCACAATGAGAAGAGAGCTTTTGGGGGGAGATAGATGGAGATAGATGGAGATAGATAGCGGTTCCAAATGGGTGTCCAATGGTGACCGACCATGGGCAGTGTAGTCCATTGGTAACCCCGAACGGAAGCAGCTGGTATAGACCAGCATCACTGCCAGCCTCACAGCCTGCATGCTAGCTATGCTAGCTGAAACGCTCCCATGCCCGGACGCGATCACGCGCTTTCAGCATGCCAATTACCAATTTTTTTTGCACATCGCAGAGCTTCGAAAGGAGGTATGATCATGCAGTCTTCGGCAGGGTTACTGCAACATGTGTGTTTCATTCAGTGAAGCTCAAGGATACTAAGGGAAGCCAAAGGAAGGCGACAAAAATGCCAAAGATGCCAAATCAGGCAACAGAAGGAATGAAGACATTGTATTTTGAGCTTGATTGCAGCGCGCAGCTCCTGTCCCTTCGATCGCTGCGATGAATTCGCCTAGCCGCCTATACTACCGCAAATGTGCAGCCGACCTCGATGGTCGGTTCCGGGGATGGCGACTCATGCGCCCATCAAAGTACATCCCCTCGGCCTAAATGTTGTCTGGCTGCCAAAAATTCTGGAATTCGCCCCTGCGGTATCGTGGGGGCCATGCAGAATCAAAACCGGGCCACGTTGTCTGGTCATCTTTACACCCGCCTTTGCCTGAGCGAGAAAACACTCTCGGGTGCAGGCAATCAGCTTCAACGAGCCCTTCAAGACATGTTGTGCACAATTGGCACGTGCATTGAATAAAGGAGATATTCCTGTATAAAAGCAGCCTATCCGACTGTCCTGTCCTTCATCTGAAGACTAGAAAGATCGGATCTGGAAAGGTAGATTGTCATTTCTTAGGGCCACATCTCTCTTAGCATTGCAGCATCGACCTCTGTCAGCGTCCTACAGCAAACTGCCATGCCTCGTTCCGTTCGATGGAAACACCATGAAACACCTGGAACCATCAGCAGTTGTAAGACTCCAAAACATTCCAAAACCATAGGATGTGTCGGACAATATTACTTATGACCCGCAAAGGACGTTTATAATTGGGGTGGGCCCCTATCGTTGTGTTGTGTTGGGCAGTGGCAGCCATACATGACCAACCATCAAATACTTTTTTGTGAAAAAAAGCGGAAAAAAAAAAAGCAAAACAAAAGCAAATGAAAATGCAAAAGCAGCGCAATTTGCTTTGTTTTTGCATTTGTTGCTTTTTTTTTGCTTTTTTCCTGGTACCACTTCTGTACTTATGAGAACGTTTACCCGTCAGCAATATTTGCTGTACCCTCCTAGGAAAAAAGCGAAAAAAAAAAAACAGAAAAGCGAAACAAATGCGAAAATAAAGCTTTAAAAAATGCGAAAATAAAGTGAAAAAAAAGAGTGAAAAAAAGCGACAAATACGCACAGCTACATTTGTTTGCTTTTTTGTTTGCTTTACCTTTCTTTTTTTTGCGTTGTTTTCGCTTTATAAAGTTATTTTGGCTCCTTGCATCTATGGCTGGCGTGCCCGACATGACATAACCCTATCGGTTTTCAGGTTTCGGCATCTCTTTACATGTAATTTGGTGGTACCCTATCGGTCTCAGGTTATCTCAGGTTTTCTTATACATCAACAACTCTTTGGGGTATCGGTTTTGGGTGAGCCATCACCCATGTTAGAGGGTATCGGTTTTGGGTGGGCCCCTATCGGTTTCGCAGTCCAATCACTGTTTAGAAAAAAAACATACAAAACGATGTCCAGCCGAAGACTACTGCTGACTTACAGTAATTCTGTCCGGTACTCATATGTTCTCTATAACATGAGGGTCCAAAACCCATGTCATATAACATACTGTACATCTTGTGTTTGGGAAAAAGAGACGACTGTCCGCAGAGCCTTCCCCCCAAGGCAGGGTAGCAATCACTCAAAAAAAGGTGACGACATTGTCTTTTGCCTGTAAAAAACTCTCATGTTCATATTCCGAAAGCCTTCGAAACCGGGCTCCGAAGCGATGTGCTGCTTCTGCTCCGAAGAGCGATGCGCCGAATGCGTGGCACCCTTTGTCGTATGCCCGCCTCTCCAGGTCACAGCAAGATCGGCCCCTCTCCCGCCATACAGCCATGGTTGGTCACATGGATCACTTGGCTCAGATCTGTCGGCTGATTCCTTAGAGCAAACGAAACAACAACAAGCCCAAAACGCGGTCAACAGCATAGGTACTAAACAGACACCACGTGGTTTGGCCACCGGTCATGACCCCCGATGCCTCGGGTGAACGGATGTTTCACCGATCCGGATCTGACACCAGACCGGTCATGGCACCAGACCGACTGAAAAGGAACAGTCGAGAGACTCGGTGGATCGATCGATCTGTTACTACATCGTTCTTCCATGTGTCTTCCAGTCGAACTTCATGGAACTTCCGGTTCTGCCAGTCTTGGGATACACATGGATACACCAAAAAGGATCGAACCAAGCTGCTTCTGATCGGGTTCCCAAAGGCGGCAACGAGCCGACGCCGTCCGACAGGTGCATCTTTACCTCTTTGTAGTGACAAGTACAGTCCTCATGCATGGCTTGGCCTGAAAGGCATCATACCATACCCATCCACAGCTGTTTCATGTTGTTTCCACGGGTCCCTACGCCTTTTATTGTCCATGATGGCTGGTCCCGGCAGCTCCTCTCTGCTTGCCCATCTGTGACGCCAAGCAACACTTCTAAGGTCCACCTCCCAGTGATCAGCCTCTTCTCTGCTTCGGTGCCCGCAAAGAGGCGGAAGTCCTGCGATCTTCCACATCGCGGCCATGCCATCCACATGGTGACCACCAAGAGAAACCATGCGATGTGTTCGTCAGAATGTAACAACCTTATGGCCCATGGCCGATGCTTCTAGCAGGCTGATGCTATACCCTGACAGATTCCTTCATGGTCCTTCACTTGGAGTAGGTGGCTGTGCAGCCCAGACAGGTGAACGAAGGTCAGTTCAACGGTTCGTTGGTGTTCGATGAGAGGCTCTTCCGTCCACGAACAGCCAGGCTCGAGAAGCCGGATTTCAGATCATTTGAGCTTCCATGTCTACCCCAGAAGCTTCCCCCATTCTCCAACCTACTAGCGATGGCCTCCCACCGATCATCACGGATCATCACGGATCCGCTCCTTGGGCGTCAGCCGCACAGAGACCACTTGCGACCTGGCGGGCAAAAAAGACGGACAGCCGCCTGGGAATGTGCAGGTCTTCATTCTCGCTGGAAGCCAGTCGTGTCATGTAGTTCAAACATCTTGTTACTAGTAGCTTCTTGTTACTATATATACTTAGTAGCGATGGCCGCCAACCTAATAGTGATGGCCTCCAACCTATACTAGCGATGGCCGATGGCCTTCACTTTTCTAGCTTCTAAAAGAACAAAGACACTGCTGGGTTCTAAATCTATGGCCCTAAACCTTGCATCTTGAAATCCCATCTGCATGGCACTCTGCATGGCTGTGGATCATGGAACCCGGAGCCCGGGACCCACAACGATGGTCAATTGACCTCCCTGGTTCGGGTCGTCTATTCTGTTCACCTTTGGTGGTCAAGCGGTTCGGTCCCCCCAGTTTTGGTCTGTAGTTCAAATAGGAAACAAACCAACAAACAGTTCCCCCTGGGTTCGCTTCGGACAATCAAACAGAACATACCCCGGCGCGGCGCAGGCGATCTCGATCGCCCGGGTGTCTCCCGGAGTTGCCTCCACACTCCGGAGGAGTAGACTGTTGAGTCATACAGATCGGTGGATTCCAGAATCGACTACATCTCCGTTGAGGTCTTTGATTCATCAATAGTCAACATGAGCTGGAAAACAAGAGCTGGAGCTGGCTTCCGGAACAAACTCCGGAAGGGTGTGTTCATGAGAGTTGGAACTTCAACAACCGAAGAACAAACAGATGTTGATCTTGCAACGTGGACGTGAAGCCTAAGTTCTTGCTATTGAAAGCACCGCCCTAGTAAATTCCTGCGTGAATGTGGACAAGCGGATGCTATGGGTGTGACAGTCTCACATCCCAACGAAAGTTTGCAATTTAAGACTGACATCTTTGGGGCATTCTCGTTGTTTTGAGCCGAGGCAACTCAGTCACATTTCTCACGTCTGCCACGTCTTGTATGTACCCGTGGCCGGACCTAGCAACTAAATTGTTTGGAGGGTGTCTATGTGTGCTTTTCTCTACCCGGTACCCTCCAACAAACAAGCAAGTGGAACATCCACTGCCTGTTTGTTGAAAATTGCTGGGCCATGCCATCCACCGGTCAGCATGAAAGGTCAAACCCATTCACACCCATTGCATTCCTGCAAAACTCGAGCCTTGCACCGCCGTTACTGGTCAGACGGGCCAAACAAGCTGCCGTCCGATGATCTTCCGAAGTGTGGTACTGTGGTCCCTAGGTAAACCAGTCTCCGAGTTTCCTGGCAGAAGGGTCGTGGATTCAGCTACCCCACGGGGAGTCATAATCCACCACTTCTGGGTAAAATGAGTCATGTGGCACTTGTGGGGGCTCCAAGGGGATACCTTTGAACAGGTTCCTTCCATCTGCCGCCCCAGCGGAACAGCGGCCCTTTTTTACACGGAACCCGTGTATAGCACGGCCTGGCGGGCGGCAGTCGCTCGAAGTGCACCAGCTTCTTGCGCAGCATCCCGTCGACCCCAGCCACCTCCGCCGGAGGCCGGAGGAAGAACCTCATGGCACCGCCAGGCACGCAACGTTGCAAACATATGTTTTCGTCCCCCTGCGCATGCCTCAGAAGCAGTTTCTCAGAAGCGGTAGAACGCGTGGTACTTTCTGCATGGGTTACTCCTAGAACCACCAGCATTGATTGAGGCTCTTCGATCAAAAGTCACACACACACACACCCCCTAACAAACCACTGGCCATTCATGTCACCTTTAAAAAAGGGGCAAGACCACCATGCAGCACCACTTGGGAAGGGATCAAAACATGGAGCTTCAAACCGATAGTTGACCTCCCAGGTGGTCCAGTCATGTCCATGACCTCTTCATCTTGAGGAAAAGGACCTGGCCGGTCTCCCGACTTTGACCCAAAACACCGATCGGCTTCTGGCTCAACTTGCACACCGATCGGTGCCTCAAAACGTGGAAAAAGACCAAGCGAAAACCATGTACCTTGACGTGGAATCTCTAGGGCATCCGGTGCCCCAACTTGCCATCCTCAAGCCCCGCAGAGTCCGCGACGCCAAGGCACAGCAGCGAACTGCCCGTACCCTCACGGGAGGAGACCTGGACCTGGCACGAAGGTCCGACCCCAAAACAGCGCGCGGGCGCCGTAGGCAGAACCATCCGCGTGAAGGTTTTTTCTGTTCAATCTTGTTCTCCTCTGACCTCTGGATTCACATACCTTCTGAGAAGGTGATTGAAGACTATATAGGACTGTTTCATGACTATTTCTGTCGGCGCCAGGAGGGCCAGTCGTGCCGAACCCGGGTCCCGGTCGTGCTTCCTGGTTTAAGGAAGAAATCGCAAAGGCTCGGCTTGGTGATACACGGATTGAATGAACAGGCGGCGCTGACGCTTTCTTGAGTGTCGAGTTTAGGGTGGCTTTCCCGACAGGGTCGACATGGATTGGACTGAGTCGTCGCAGACTGAGTCGTCGCTTCATGAAGCTTCTGCGAAATTGCCAAACAACGAAAAGTTAAGGATAGTTAGTTAAGGAATAGTGGATCTTGGTCATGGTGTTGTTAAGATTGTCACTAGTAAGATACAGTAATCCCCTTACTTGATACATTCAGGTGGCATATTACGTTTTATAAACACTTACTTAGCTGCTATAAAATGATCTGCAAGGCATCAGTCTCTATAAAGTGCTTTATAAAATGACAATACTTCAGGCAGACTCCAGTCAATGTCATGAGGTATCCATATTCTGGAATCCGTATTTTTTAATAATTGCACTTCCCTCGATCTTATCTTTCCAGGGTCCCCTATCATATGGGCACGCATGTTTCTATAAAAGTGACTCCCCAAAAAAAAACATGGCAAAGAACGTAAGCACAGGAGGTACATGTAAGGAGGATGTAAGATATACTTCAGTCACTCATGTCCCCGGTCATACGTCATCCGGTCGCTTCAGGACCCAAGCTTCAGGACGCTTCAACGGACAGCTGTCGCTTCCGGGTGACCGGTCGCTCGCCTGGAAGCGACAGCTGCGGCTCCTGCGGTCCTGCAGCTGAAGCGCTTTTGGGTGGTTTTGGAGGACCATTCTGATGGATGGGTGTCATTCCAAAAGCCACAGAAAGCTGAAAAATCGGATGATCGCAGAATTGCAAGCAAAGTATATGACACGATGGGTTTCACTAACGATATATCTATGATGAGGCTTCGTCACAGCACAGATCTGCCAACGGCAGAGGTGTGTTGGTGGATCTCCACAGAATCACGAACCTTGTTCAGCTACAAATGGAACAGTTGAGAGCGGCGTCCATATGGTCATTCAAGAAGCTTCAAGAAGCTTCTCAGACCAGGACACCAGAATCCCCCCCTCTCCTCTTCCAAGGCCTTCTCCTTCTGCTCGACCCACGTGTACCTCAGAAACGGAGACGAAAGGAGACGGATCCGGAGCCCATCACTGGGTTGGTCATTCTGGGGAAGAACTGGGATCGCCGAGACGCAGCGGCTTCATGTCGTCGCTATATATGGATGTGTCGCTGCTTGGGGTATCTCGCATGATTCTGACCGTTCAAGACGAATGCCCCCCAAGAGATCCCCCCGAAGCATCCCTATCCAACATCACCTCAGCTCCAACCATAACCAACCTCTGGAATTTCTGACAGAACTTCCAGAGGAAGCCTACTTGGATCTCAAAAAGCCTTCGCGCATCGATGGGTATTCCATGGTCTTCCTGTGGTCGGACTGTGATCGGTCCCAACCGCCGGGGTCTGGGCTGGTGCGTCGTTCGTCGGGCCCGTCCACCGGCATCTCTCCACACCCGAAGGTATCGGGGTTAAGGCGCGAGAAGGTGTCGTAGGAGAGGCCAAAGCCGAAAGGGTAGAGAACCCACTTGTCCTGGCCAGTCGTGGTGGCGAAAGGCGGCGCTTCGTCGAAAGGCGGCGCTTCTTCGACTCCCCTAATTACTGGGGCGTGCGCGCGACAAACTTGCGCGCGACATCGAGCATGGACGCCGTTTTTGGGTGCCACGTGAACGCACGTGACAATACGTGACACATGATTGAAATGGCCATGACGGCATGTAGGCAGAAGGTGTCATGCCTACATGAACTTGTCCTTCAAAGGGTTCCCAAGTCCCAAGTCCACCTTTCACTTTCATGGCAGGAACGTGAACACCTCCAGAAGCATGGCTACGCCGCTATGCCGCTCGCTCTCCTTCGTACACCGCACCCGATGTTCTGAGACCGTTCGTCTCGGAACATCGTCTCGTCTCCTCGACGAAGCGATAGCCTCGCCCTGGATAGTCTGCGCGAGCAGGAAAGCTGTAGTCTTGCATGGGCACGTGCTGGAAGTACTCCTCCCCTGGGCGACACGGACCAACCACACGGAGCAACCACGCTCCTCTTCCGAGCGGGGCGGGCGAAACGAACCGCACCGGGCGTCGCCGCCTCGCTCGGCACGGCCGTGTGGAGGCCGTGGGGAGGGGAAGCATTCGCCAACCGGAGGTCGGGTGGGAGGCGAGTGGGAATACCCAATTCGCTGTTGAGTCTTGACATAGACAACGTCGAGGTCACGTGAGGGGAAATAGGAGAGAGGGAGGATCCCCTGATTTTTTGGACAAAGGTCCACGCATCGACGCATCCGCGGTCCCAGTTGTGGGGCGCCAGCACCCATGTGAACACATCCAAATCTTCCACACATTGAGACATATTGCCTGCTGAAACAAGCCATCTGTTGTCAGAAGACAGCGAGCAAGCCTTCTGGGCCTTCTGGATGGTCCTGCTTTTTGTCCTCCAGAACCTCCGACTCACCTGGCCTATACTCACCAACTCTCTGGCAAACACACTGATCCCAGCAGATTGTGGCAATCATATTTACCTATACATCAACCCTTGAAGCATCTTGAAATCACCCCAATCATCCCCAATCCAGGCAAATCTTCTATACATTAGTACATGTTAGTCAACTGTTAGTCGTACATCGGCATAGGCCCAGTATATTAAAATCGCTCGCACAGCTTCAAAAGCATCCAGAAACCACCGGCTGATCTCCTTCCGAACGAACGTCGCACGACGTCTCCGTCCGCCACGTCTGAACCCGCTCCCGAGCGGCTGTAGAAGGTCTGGGAGAGACGCCCACTGGGCGAGACCTCACCAACCAGTAGCTGCGCCAAGGCCTTGCCACCCATCTGCCCAGGATAACCTGCAGAGTGCGCGGAAGCACGAGTGTGGAAGTGCGCAAACAGAGCTGGTGGTGGAAGTGTGCCGGAGCTGGTGGCGTGGCATTTGGGAGATGCGAAGCGGAAGTTGCTGTAATGGGTTGAAGGATGTTGAAGGTGATTTGCCCAATCTGGCCAAGCCAACATGATTGCCAACATTGGAGGAAAAGGGTGTGTATCAAAATGGAAGAAGGAAACTCGATCAAAGCCCATTGGTTGGGAGGGTCTCCCTGGTCTCCCGACTCTAAATGTACACAAATTACACCCTGGAAGACTAACATGGACCCTGAAAACCACTGGTTGGTAGAGGAAAACATTTTTCAGGGGGGCCATTGGCAGGGTCTATGGAGTTTTCGGCAGTGTACATCACGGAAATGCGCCCTGTCTTGACACCTGTCTCCTTCTCCGATCAGAAGCTACGGAATCGGCATCCGGCGCCAGGCCGGCTCACGTTCGTGACCAATGGGCTGTGCAATGCAGATCAGGATGATGGCTTCGATGAAGGCCCATCCCTCCACACAAGACAAACCCAAACCTTTGCCTGCCCGTGGCCCTTTTTTGGTCCACTTCCATGACCGATTCCCCCCCCCCCCCCGGGGGTCCCTGGTGTCCCGTCCCGAGAAGCCCCCCCAAAGGGCGCCCGAGACCAAGTCCTGGATGCTCGAGATGTCCAAGGCTCCTCCGCTCACGAGCCTTGGCTGGATAGCCGGTAAGAGCCGGGAAGAGCCGGTGCCAAAAAAACCATCTGTGACAGTGGTTTCTGAGGTTCCGTGGCTCTGGCCTTCCTTGCTTCTCTTTTCAAAAGGGAGAATAGGCCTGGGCTCGGGTGCTTTAGAAAATAGGCCTGGGCTCTGGTGGCTCGGGTGGGGATGTTTTCGGGTTTCGGGTTTCGGGGAAGATGGAGAAGACGGGTTTGGAGGGATGGGGACGTTTGGAGGAACTCGTCACAAGTGAGGGTGACAAGTTGCTCCAAACATCGCCACATGACTAGGGTGATGACTGGGGTGATCTAGAATTGTTGAACTGTTAGACGATCAACGGATTGTGTTGACTAGGTTGATCAAACCAAGATGTCTTTGTGAAGATACCATATTCCTGTAATAACAATAGATAATAATATAATAATAACAATAACAATAAAGACTATATAAAAGGACCTCAAGTTTCCTCCAGCATGTGCAGGCGCCACTCCCCTCCAAGCCCTTCCACAAGATCGTATGCCAAGCAGCACCAGCACCACTGGCAAACCCCAAGAGGCCTCGGTTCCACAGGTCGGCCAGCTACGGGGGAGGCTTGTCAATCCGAAGCCGGTCAGCCTAAGGTGCCTTCCTTGGACGCTGGGAGAGGTTGGCAACTCCTCATGGGTGGGGAGCGCTAGGTTTTGACTCTAGGCCTCTAGGGTATTTCTTTGCCTAGCACCTGGAGGGCCAGTCCAATACCCACAATTCAATTCAGGCATCCCTAGAGACCTGATGTGGATCTAGGAAATTGCCCAAATCTGCCAGGTCCACTGTTTCACACCACTGTGGAAACCGCCAGGTCAATTACTTACGCCGATGCCCAATAGTATTTATAGTGGATGTGAAGACCACTGGTTTCGCTCAAGCGAAACGTCTTTTGTCAAAATTTAAAGGCCTAAAGAAGGCCCCAGAAAAGATCTCTTTCTTTTGGGGGTCAAACCCTCCAAAGCCCTGCAATATGGGTCTTCCGACCCAGAAGCGAAAGAATCTGGGGAAAAAACAGCCGGCAAAAAAAACTATATAGACTAATTAGTGATCTTGTCTGTTGCCAGGACCCTTGGACATAATCCATAGGATTCCATAGGTATACCTAGCGAATTACCAATGCACAAACAACGAATAGATAATGCGCACACAGGATTTACCAACCCCCCTATTAATTGTTGGCATCTAATCCCTCCAATCCCAAACCTTGTTGACCTTGTTGACCTTGAAGGGGGGGTTGATTAATCCTACGTCGACATGACAAATAGCACCGCTCGGTCAGACCATCGCCACACCAGTTCGGATGGCAGACTCTGCACCAAAGCCCCAAGTAGGGAGCTGTTCCGTTTCGCGATCCCCAAAAGGCTCCAACAATCCCAGCTCTGACGCCGTCTGCGTCAGCCATGCGGCGGCCTCCCGGATCAAGGCTTCCTAGCGGCAACCAATGCGGATAGGGCTTGGGTGGGGCAAAGAATGATTGCAAAATATTGCAAATGTACATATACCAGGAGTCACAAAGGGGTGGTGTGTAGTCCCCAAGTGGGTGGATAATGGCCTCCTATAATGGATAATATGTATGATAATATTTACTTTTTAATATAGATATCTGAAGTCCTCCAACATGCGCAACATAGATCCATGGCCAATTCCGGAATTGGGTGAACATGGTCCATGATGTGCAGCACTTGCAGAATTGGTTGGTGCATCCATCATCCATAGAGAGAATGGAAGCTGTTGGGGCTCGAATGGACTGTGGTTGAGGGCCAGAAGCACGGAGTTGCTCATCTGCTTGTCCGAAAACCCAACAAGTACTTCAATCCGTTTTATTTATTTTAGTTTGTTTGGCCTTGGTGCAAGATCGGCAGCAAGGTGCATTACCACAAACACATGTCCAGGAAGGAAAGCCCATGTTGAAAAAACATGTCCTCCGGTACGGCCACACCGGACGTGCCACAGGACGTCGACTCATCAATTCAATCCAGATGTTCCAGCAAAACTCCCGAACTTCCTGACTTGGGGAATGAGGGAGTGAACCCCCACAACAAAATGCCTTAGGATCCAGCCACCCTTATTCAGCCTTGTTCCGCTTGTTCATCCAATCCACAACCAGTTCTGAAGTCCAACTATAAGTACGACTGGTGTTCAGGTCCTCAGGTCCTCACCGTGTTCCCGGCCATGGCCTCCACTCTCACCGCGAGTCAGACTCGCCACTCGCCACTCGCCACTCGTCACTCCCATCGTGCGCTCCTGACTCTTCGGCAGCGAGATGTTGGGTCGATCGCAGCCTTCGCCTTCCAAGCAGCCTGCGTCACCGTCAGCCGGGCGTAGAATATACAACGACCATCCGAAAAAACACTGAGTTGGTAGAGGAAAACAAGCGAAACGAAAACAACACCACCAGGGTCCATGTGAGTTTTCGGGAGTGTACGCCTAGCATCTTTGATAGGTCCTTGGCTTATGGATTCGTTCCGTAAGTCAAAGCCTTTTGTTAGGTTGAAGCTTCGTTTTGATCCTCCAATCATGCGTGCTTCGAGGAAAAGAACTCGGATCAATGCATGGAAATGGTGGTCAAAACCCAACACTGAGTCCTACTCCCTGGAAGATTAACAAGGAACCTGAAAACCACCGGTTTGTAGAGGCAGCTAGTGTTCCAAAGGTCCATTTTCAGGAGCCATATTAATCTTCAAGGGTGTATCTACTTGTGACAGGCCAACTAGAGCCACAAATACTGCTTGCCCGCGTGTGACAGCCTTTCTCTTGTTTCTGCTACGCACTTAAGAATGGTCTCCTCAGACCAAGGTTGTGCTGAAGCGCATTCAAGACACTTACAAGTCTTAACATGCACGAAACCACCCGGACTGAATGAATGCAGGACATTGCAGGACAAAGTAACAAAGTTGTAGAAATGATGTCACCTTGGGTGGTTCATGGCGGTTTTTGCCAAAACGATCTACAGCCCGAACTGCTCAATGGCATCCTTGCCAGTGTACAGCTCTGCGGAAATGATACCAAGCGCTGCAAACATGGCAAAGCGGCCGTTGTTGATTTCTCGCTCCTTAGACAATCTTCATTATGGTAAGGAAACCACTCATGAGCAGGTCTAGGCAAGTTGATATCCAAGAGTCAAAGTGCCAACCTCTTCTGCGCATGTGCCAGTTCAAGTTGCACGGAAAAAAATATTTCCTTAAAAAAAAAGAAACGATTTACCAACAGGCTTACCAAGAAGTGCAACCCAGTTTCCCTCATTTCTTGAGTGTACTGGTTGAATCCCACTGGGTCACCGAAGTTTCCGGGTTCCTTGTCGTCGCTCTCCGTCCAAAGGCCCAGCTCCAACGCTCCAGACACCGCGAACAAAGCAATGAAGCCATAGCTCCCGGGTGGTGTGACAGCAGCGGCCAAGCCACTTGGCACGGACTCAAAGCCTGGGAACTTCACGTAGTGTTGCACCACTGCTCCAAGTGCAGCCATCATGGCAGCACGGCCATGCTTGATCTCGGCTGCCCGCAGGTTTCGGAAGCCAGCTTCGTCGCCCTTCTTGCAGAAACCGGCGGGGTCAAAGAAACCCAGTGGGGCCATAGCGCCAATCTGGGTGGATGGGTCGAATTCAGGACTTCCCTTGCCTGAAACACCTTTCTCCTTCAAAGATCCCACACCAGCCGAACCTGCCACTGCCGATCCTGTGGCCGTCGCTCCCTTGGCAGCAGCTGCTCCCTTGGCAGCAGCTGCTGCCTTGGCAGCAGCAGCTGCGGCGGCTGCTCCGCTGACAGGCTCCGCGCGCAAAGGGGAAGCAGTGTAGTTCGCCCAGTCACCCCAAGCGCTGCCAGTGAGCCCATCCTGTGAACCAAGAAGGACGTGGTTTTCTTTCTCTCTCTCTCTCTCTCGCTGTCTCTGTCTCTGTCTCTCTCTGTCTCTCTCTCTCTCTCTCTCTCTCGGTGATATGCAAAACTATACAGCAATACTGTGCACAATTCATCATCTGGATATTACAATCATTGCTGAATCATTGCTGTTGAAACATGCTCCACAACATTCAAGTCTTCCACTGACCATGCACACACAAAAAATGTTTGACAGTGTTCAACCTGCCTGGAAGAACATGCCAATGATCGCCATCATCGCAAGTCTTCCGTTAGCAAGTTCCGCCGACAATTTTTTGGTTTTCTCCGCAGGATCGGAAGAAGTCAAGACCTTGAAACCAAAATCTCCAGCGGCAGCAGGTGTGCCAGGAGACTGGTCCTGGGAAACCTCGCAGAATGCCATGTAGGCCAAGATCTGTCCCCAGCCTGCTGCAGGCACCTTGGAGATTGCTGCAAGTCCATTGGGCACGTCGGCAAATTTCAATCCGGCCGATGGGGACAAGTAGCCCGGCAGCTTTCCAGTGATCCTCAGCCGGTCAGTCAGAAAACCTACATTACACTATATTCTTCTAAATTCACAATCATTGAACCTTCAGCAAAGCACGCATGATCCCTCAACGCTTTAAAAACATGTTAGAACCGAGTTTGCCAAACAATATCTAAAAAACTATTGGAAACTGCGCGTTCTGATCATTCAGTTTTCAATTGCAAAGTTCAAATTTCAGCTCGCTCACGCTGCCGGAAAGTTTCTCCGGGGTAATATATCCCATCGTCGCGAGCATAGAGATGCGACCATGCTTGAGTTCAGTCTGACGACGGCGCTTGAAGTCCTCTACGCTGCCATCAGCCGTGAATCCGGCGGGGTCCCAAAATCCCACAGGAGCCTGAACACCCAACTCATTCTCGAACGCGCGCAATGGAGAAGCGGTGTAGTTGGCCCAGTCACCCCACGCGCTTCCGGTGAGTCCATCCTGTAATCAGAACACTGCTTCACTGAACGTCATCCTCTATCGGTCTAAAATGGTCTAAACTTGAGTCTAAACATCTACTGTCGTGTTGGCCACGGAAATGCACTGTACATAGAAAATAGTTCAACACTTAACTCACCATATTTAAAAACATAAGTTGTAGTGTGCGTTAATGTATCAATATCACTGTTCACCGAAGATATCAAACTATAACGCGTTGATGGTGATTTGTTTCTTTTGCTGTTGAAACAAATGTTAGTAATCTTATACCTTTGCTTTCATAAAAAAACATACTTGGGCTTTAGTGCGACAGCTAACACAAATCAATTAAGGCTCAGATATTTGCTGAGTTGGGATTAACTTATGCAATGTAAAAACTCCGGCACCTGTTCCTATAATGTGCGATGATATTCGAAAAAACATTTTGGAAATAGTTTTGGAACGTTTTCAAACCTATCTTAGGCTCAAAAAACACAAGCTCCTGGGCAAAATCTGGCTGCTCAGACTCCAGCTGAGCGACCTCGATCTGGTTGGGACCAGAGGGAGGGAGCTCGGAATTTTCCGGTGTAAGCCCAGTAGGCAGTGAGTCCTGAGGAGGGGACTGAAAGTGCAAGATCCTCGAAATCAGCAAAAATGTCGCGCGCGCCAACTTCGCCAAGTACACCATCATAAGTGGCCACCGAAGGTGGCGCAAAGTTGATAAAGTGGCGGATGACATCACACAAGGGCTCACGACCTCCAAGCATCCTTGAGGACATAAAGAATTTGCGGTCCCCGTTTACAACGTCTAGACACCGCTTCTTGAGCGCTTTACATCTGTCGGATTTGAACTCTTCAAGCTTCGCAACACGAGACCCTGTCTGGGATAAGTAGGCTCAGACCCGTTCGCCAGGGCAGAGGGCGTTCTGCCGGTCGTTCGTCGCGAGGGCTTCGCACTGCGGACCCATGTGGTCCACTTCTGTCTAAGGGCACGCCACTTGAACTTGCAGGGCCAGCAGCCTCCGCCACGTAAGCGGCTTTGTCTGCCTGTTTCTCCACTCGCTCAAGGCCCCCCACCTTTGCACTCTGACTTTTGGCATCTGACGCGGAAATGGTGCTACTAGGGTACTCTTGACTTAAGAAGACTTCAAGAACTTTTAGAACTTAGTAGGCACTTATCAAAAGCTTACAGGAACTTAGCACAACTTAGCTAAGGTTAGCAAAAGCTTTCTTGAACTTAGCAAAACTTAGCTAAATGCGCTGCATAGATTGTTTGCCAATCAAACCAATAAATCAATAACAAAAAAACAAGCCGAATCGACCGCTGGGATCTAATTTGAGCGTTGCTTTTGACTAGGGTTTCTTTGCGCCATGAAGAAAGGTATCTGCTTAACCCTTTTGATTTTAGCAACACAGTTCAGGAATGGCGAGTTTGCTTTGTCAGCTTCGAAGTCATGTACATGCGCCGGTGCGTCGGTTTGATTTTTTGATTTCCTTCGATCAGATTATGTTGGATTTGGCTGGATTGGATTGCAATGTATCAAATTTGGATTGTTTTGGATTGGGATGGACTGTATGGAATTAAAACTGGTTTGTTTGGGTTGGATTTCACTGAGCAGCGCACACGAACCAACAATCAAAATGCCATTTCCGACGGTGGAAACACACAAATGAAAGGCCATTGCGGTTCCTCAACAGGTTCCCCATGACTAACTGATTAACTGATATTAACTGCTTCCAAGATCTTCCAAGTACAGCGCTTGTCAAGTTGGCGACTTGTACTGTGTCGGTGAGCTCAGGCATGGCAGCACAAACGCGGGTGATGTGACTGGCAACAAACTATACTGACCCACCTGTTCCCGCCAAGGTACCGGTCGTTCTGGGGGCCATACTTCCTTGGGGAGTTTTCAGTTCCGCAAGTCGTGCATCGTGCACTGGGCTCGTTCTTGACGTCTCCTTTGACAAACAGGACAATGGATCGACGGGAGGTGTCTGACGCTTGATGATGTGCGACTTGAAGCACAAGTCGCCCGTGTGACTTCTGGAGTCGGTCAAATTCACCGCAGCTTGGAGCGCTGGACCGACCACGGAGCATGGCGGCAAAACTAGGGACGGACTACGGCAACTCATTGCTGCGCAGGAAAAGCGGCGATCGGGAAGTCACGCATGTGAAAAGCATTACGATCATGCTTAAAGGTTAACGGAGTGGCGCAAATCTCAGGCAGAGGACGACCAAGCTGGACACCGAGAGGACAAGTGAGAGGAAAACGGAAACGGTCCGATGGGATGATCTTGGGCGTCCGGGGAACACACTTTTACAGTCGGGGCAAATTTCTGCAGTATAGAGTCCGGGGCATGGTCGACATTATGATGGGAGGGGAAGACACGCAGGCAGCGTACATTTCAAACCGTTTTCGCGAAAGGTACCCTCCGGGCGACTAACTTCAATATGAGTCGCGAGACCGGAACCGGTTGTAAAAAGACCATGACAAACACTGCACGGAAAGTTGCCTTCATAGTAGAAGGTATTATTGATTTTGAGGCAACTTCTTCATCCAAACCGAGGTGAAACGATCGGAAGCCGATTTGGAGGGGGTCTAAAGAGTCGTTTCTGCGCGGGTCGCTTCTGTGGAAAGCGCCATCGACGCAGGGGCTCAGTTTGCGGCGGTGGAGGAATGGGGGAACACCTTTGAAGGGAACTTGGGAAAATGTTGCAGACGACAAGGTCGGCTTCAGAAGTTAAAGACGGCAGTCTGGAAGGGAGTCTAAGTGTTCCATGGAAAAGTTGATAGGCTGAGCTTTTTGGGTGAAGGAAACCTTAAGACTCTGTGTCGGTGCACGAATGGGCGATGCCTGAACAGAGGTGTGAAAACCAGGGGGCAAACCCCACGGGGCGACTTGATAAACCAGTTGTCGCCAAGGGCGGCCGCCGTCGGAGAACGAGCGTTGTGCCTCCAAGTAGGGAGGGCATCCAAAACTGCCACTATATGTGTCCTACAAATTCTTGAACCCCCTACACACTACCCCAAAAAAACACCAAACAACGTTCGACCGTATTAAACATGCCTGGAAGAACATGCATAGAAGGTGGTTTCGCAGGCCCATGAGAGCCAACACCTGAAGTCAGGAAGAAGATCCAAAAAGAGCCCGATCCAGGAGCGAAGATCCCATCGGTGTCCGTGGGATCACGTTCCTGCTGCCGACAGTTTCAACAGCAGGTTGCTTCGCCACAGAGGCGCTGCAAAATATCCATAAACACAAAGAAGCTCACGCCAAACACAAAGAGCCACCAAAGTGAGCACTCCTGGAGCCAAGGAAGAACCCACGAATCAGCCAGAGTGAGAAGAGACATCCGGGTATAAGCCAAACGTCAAGCACCGTAGCTGCTAAGCAAAATGTAGAGCAAGCAAAATATCATCCAGAATTGTAGCTGCCATCAAGCCGAGAGCCCGCCACAAACCTGACTGTACTACGGGAGAAAAAAGCACAGATATTGCCATCTCCTCAAGCCGAAGAAGAAAGCCAGCCTAGAAGCACCAAATCTATCCGATCCCAATGCTTGCACCAATCTCTGCGCCCAATTCGACATGCAAAAACAATGAAAGCACCGGCAGCCAACTCCTCACGCCCCTTGGCGTGAGCTGGACAATTTCTTCAAATCTTCCCAAACAGCCTTGTGGAGGCCAGACTGACCCCAACGATGAGGCGCCACCTTCCAGCGAGAATTGTCAATGGTTTTGCAAAGAGCATCAAGGGCTTCGACGAGTGTCCTCCGGAAATGTGTGAACATGAGAGTTCCCAGACCCAAACCCGTCCACTCTTGGGTTCAGCGTAACGGGGTTTGAAAGAGCCAACGTGAAAGATCACTTGTCGACAAAGAGAGGAGATGCTGAAGGGCCTTCTTGACAGGGTCGCCTTCCAAAGTGGTGTCATTCTGCATCAGTTGGTCCCGCTTTTCACCCAACTCGCGCGGACGATTATCAGAAGCTCCCGGCCGCCATTCTGGCTTGGAATTAACCCATAGAGTGGCCTGGGACTGAATCTGTTGGACATCCGAGTCTTGTTTCACGAGCAAAACCAAATTGGTCGCGCTGGCGACAGCTTCAGTCTTTTCAGCATTGGAGAGAGACAATCGGATCACACGCTCAACCACAGCGGTCAATTCTTGACTAGAGGCAGCTGAGGAGGCGGGAGCAGCGGATCTGGGCCGCTTGTTGAGGCGCGATGTGTCTCCCTCTTGAAGGCTTTGAGCTTTCTGAAGAATATCCAAGGCACTAGCCATGGTGCACTGTGCAAGTTAAAAGAGAGGGCCACAAACAGCTTGCGCCGACATGGCCAACAAACACAAGAAACCAACTAGCAAATCTTCACTCGCATGGCAATAAAGAACCATCGTCAACAAAAGGGAGGGACATCAAATGAACATGTTGGCAAACACAACCGCACTGGACACGCTGCAATCCCTAGATGCGCAAAGCAAGGTTAGCAAGTAGGCTCCAGGGGCAAGTCGTGCCACTGCTTGAGATTTAAAGGCAAGTGTTGGCGCTGTCGCCTTTTTCCACATTCGACCGAGTGACGCCCGGCAGCTTTAGGAACACTAAACTGAGTGCCACAATGAGAGCGTGGAAAAGTACGAGGCGTTTGTGACAACACGATTTGGGCGAAGCGATTCGTCAGCCTGTGGGGGCGGCAAGTCGGTCAGCGTAATGGCACGCTGTAATTGAGCACCACGATATCTGCCCGTCATGTGTTGTGAGGCATAATAATGATCCAAGGTGGCTTTGACGTCAAAGGAAGTACATGCATTCACATCGCGCACTGTGGCCTGACAAGCATTTTTTTCAAAAGCAGCGGGGCGCGTTTGTTTTCTCAACAAACGAGTTCTGGGACCAGTGGGCACATGATCCAAAGTTTCAACCTGAGCCGCTGCAGCCGGAGGCTGTGAAGGTGCAACGTGAGCAGAAGCCGTAGCAGCCAGTGAACGTGTTTGACGTTGTTCGACACTTAACGGTCTGCAAACTGTTGTGTGCTGTCGCATGCCCTGCAGGGGTTGAACTATGGAACAGCCCTCATAACCACACTTGTACCTACCACAAGGAAGCCTACGCACGCCTAACTCTTGAAAGGCCCTATCGTAAGCAGCTTGCTGACGACCTCGACGCGCAGCGTCGGTGTGTCGAGCATTCCAGGTATCCTGCTGAGCCATGATTCCTGCCAACGAACCCACTTGCGAATCAAGGCAGTCCAAACAACACCACCTTGTTTCTGTGCCAGGGCCACCCAGCCCTCTTGCCACTGTGTTTCAGGAAGGTCCGAGAGCGCCAACAACTCTCGAAGGCGCTTCCAGAAAGTCTGACGGGAAGAGATAGCACCTTTGAAGGACGCGCGCATGGACTCTCAGGGTAACCAAGAAAACAGCATCTGCTTTTCGATGCGTCCCTCTGGAAGGCGCACAAGGTGCCCAAGGTATGCCAATTGTCCGGACCCGACATAGGTGGCGATTTTCTTGAATCCTAATTTATTGGTAATGTCTTGTTGAGTCACTTGATCTCTTGCATGGTTTGGAGTTTCTGCCTACAAGCAAAACGAGCAATCCCATTAAGAAAACACTGCCACTTGCGGATAGTGAGGCCGCTGACACATCTGGACTCGGTACCAAACAAGAGCGCTCTTAGCACTCCGGCATAGATGAGTTGGCCTAAAAGGGGTAGACCGAACCTCGGAATCTGCCGAATAAGT